GGGTATAAATGGTAATAAATGATTAATTTTATAGCATTAAAACAGTCGAGTACAATGCAGAAATAAACAACTTTAATTGCCATGGCTCCATCTTGTGGAATCCTGGGATTTATAGTTTGGTGAGGCACAAAGCTTTCTGACAGACCAAGCTGAATATATCATCAAACTACAAATCCCAGGATTCCACAGGAAAGAGCCATGACTGTTAAAGTGGTGTTTTAGTTCCTCATTATGGCAAGAACCTAGGTTTTTCCAAAACAGGAGAGTTCTGTGGATGAAATACAAGCAATGTTGCTAAAAATGCTAAGTCTAATTTGTTCAAGAAAGCTGTTTCCTGTTCTTAATTGTGATTAGTGAAAATTTGCAATCCAATTTGCAAGGATGGAGTTTTGGGCACCTGTTCTGCATCCAAAATTGATGGGAGGGGGCTAAGAGAGCCTAAAGTGGGTTTGATGTCTTCCCGACTCTTTATGCTGCTGTTCAACACTCTGAAAACCAGTGGAGGATGGTGGATAAAGCAGTACCCTTAATTATTTAACTCTAACATGAAGGCACTTCCAGTTCACTTTTTGTTTTGATTTTTAAAAAAGGGATGTTGTGGATCTAAAAGCCACCCACTCCAATAAAGCAAAAGTGCTCTCCATAACTTGTAGAGGACACTTGGCGGGGGGGGGGGGGACAGAGTTGAACTCTGGAGGGCACAAAAATGGCCCGAGAGGACCACATACTGCCCATGGGATGCAGTTTGACCATCTCTGTTTCATAGGAAATGAAGGCTCATTTATTTGTTTGTATATTGAATTCATATTCTGTCTTCCTCCCAGCACTCAAGGTGACTTAGAATAATTTGTTTTAAAAAAAATCAAGCTAAGATTTTTTTTAAAAATAAAAGTTAAAAAATACATCACAAAACTATAGTTGAAACATGGTTAAAACAGTTTAAAATCATTTAAAACATAATTGCCAGTAAAAAGATCTAAAATACAGCACACCACTTCACACACACACACTATTCATAATTAAATATTTAAGGCCTGCCTGAATAAAAAAAATGCACTTGTTAGTGGAAAGAGAGCAGGGGGATGTCAATTGAACCTCCCAAGAAAGGGTGTTCCACAGCCTGGGAGCAGCCACTGAGAAGGTCTTCATCAATGCAACTGTTAGATGGATACGTAATTGGTTGACTGGCCAATCTCAAAGGGTGCTCAGCAATGTCTCCTCTTCATCATGGAAAGAAGTGGCCAGTTGGGTGCCACAGGGTTCTGTTCTGGGCTCAGTGCTATTCAACAGCTTTATCAATGACTTAAATGAAAGAATAGCGGGCATGCTTCTCAAATTTGTTGGAAGATTTAGTCCCAGGGGCAGCACAGAGCCGCCCCTTAGGGGCCATCTGCACTGTCCCATAGTTAGGCAAAGACACATTTCTGCTACTCTGCTAATTTAAAGCCAAACTCGAACAGGCTTGGCTTTCATATTTTGATATTTAAATATTTTTGTTTCCTTAAAAGGGCTGAAGCCTTCGGAAACTTAAATTGCAAAATTTGCAGATGACACCAAATTAGGAGGAGTAGCTAATATCCCAGAGAACGGAATTAAAATTCAAAATGACCGTAATAGATTAGGAATCTGGGCCAAAGCTAACAAAAGGAATTTCAACATGGAGAAATGTGAGGGACTACACTTAGGGTAGGAAAATGAAATACATAAATATAGGCTGGGGGACACCTAGCTTAATGAGACTACGTGTGAAAGGGATCTAGGAATCCTAGTGAACCACAAGTTGAACATGAGTCAACAGTGTGATGTAACAGCCAAACAGGCTAATGGGGTTTTAGGCTACATGAATAGAAGTATAATGTCTAGATCAAGGGAAGTAATAGTGCTACTGTATTCTGTTTTAGTCAGGGCTCACCTGGAATACTGTGTCCAGTTCTGGGCACCACAACTCAAAAAGGATGTTGACAAGCTGGAATGTGTCCAAATGAGGGCAACCTAAATGCTAAAAGGTCTGAAAATCATGTTTTGGATGTTCTTT